TGTCCTGCGCCGGCCACCCCCGCTCGGACAGGCGCCGGCTCCCCACCGGCGGGGGCCGCCACGAGGCCGCAGGGGAGGCATGGAGGGGCCGAGGAAGCTGAGCGTGCCACGGGGAGCCCGCAGTGGGGGCGGTGGGGAAGGAGAAACGCCCCGGACGGTGGAGTCAGGAGGCAGCGGCCGAGGGCGACGCCGCCGGACGGCTTTACAGACCCCAGCGGGGCCGCAGCGCCTGCCCCGGCCTGTCCGCCGGCCACGCAGCCCGGGTGCAGCCGGCCTGGAGCACGGCCCCCCACCTGGAGCCCAGTCAGATGCCCAGTCTGGCGGCCGAGGCGTCCACGTGCCTGGGGCCTCGGGCCTCGGGCCAGGGAGGAGGCTGGACACTCACGCTGTCGCCTGCCGCGGGCAGGCCCTCGCCCTCCCAAGCGGCCGCCCCTCTGAGCCCGAGGGACTCCCCCGGCCGACTCAAGCCATCTGCAGGACGGGTAGCTGCCGGCCTGGGCCATCCGGGGCGGGGGAAAGGGCCCTCTCCAGGCCGGACGGTCACCACGGCCTGGCCGGAGTCCACGCCTCCCCCTTCCCTGCAGGGAGCGGGGCCCCGGGCCCAGCCTGGGCCTGCCCGCTGGGCGCCCGGCCCACTGCCCACAGGCCCCGGACCCTGGCTGCCTCGCCTCTGCACGCCGGTGCCCTCGGCTCCCTGCCCCGGCCTGCGGGCCACGTGGCCCTCCTGCAGGAGGCCGCCCTGGCCGCTGCCCCGCTGCCCGCCGGTGTCCGTCTGGCCCCTGTGTGCCAGACGTGCGACAGACAGCCCTGTGCAGGCCACTTGGCCTCTGTCCCCTGTCCTCGCTGTCCTGGGAACGTGCCCTGGTCTGCCGCAGCACGGGCAGCAGGGCCCACGGGCTCTCTGGCGACGAAGGGGCCCCGCCCGCCTGCACCCAGGCGCTCACTGGCGGACAGCGGGCGGGCTGGGCGAGGTGTCTGCTGTGACTCAGACACACCCCACTGGCCCAGGTCTGCAGGCGGGCAGGAGGGACCCGGGTGGGGACGCCTGGGTGTGGCCTGCTGGCTGCCCTGCCGAGGACCAGCCCTGCGGCCCTGAGGGGACCCCAGCCGCTGCCTGCCCCACCCCCACGCTTCCTCTGTCCCTGTCCAGGCTTCCTGCCAGGGGCCTGGGGCTCCGGCCACCCCAGGGCGCTGCCCCGCCCAGCATCTCCCTGCTGCCCACAGGGCCTGTCCACTCAGATAAGCAATTGGAAAGGAAGCAAAAAGGAGTTAGCAGAAGGGGCGCCTCCAGCGAGCAGGTGCCCTCCCCTGGGCGCAGAGAGGAAAGGGGAGGGGAGCGGGCAGCGCCTGGGCCTCGGCCTCCTCCTGGGGAGCGTCCTGGGTGGGACCTGGGGACGGGCATCCACAAGGCTCTCCAAGGACTCGGAGACACGTGCAAGGCTTCCACACTGAACCTGAGCTCCGGCCGGGGCGCGCCCCCCCTGCACCCCACCCCCCATCGCACTGGCCTTCTTGGAGCCTGACCACGGTGGGGAGGGAAGCCGGTCCGTGGAATCACCCCGGTGGCCGCACAGGGCCACTGGCACCGGTCAGACTGGGCCGGGGCGAGCATGGCCGCATCAGGAGCTGGGTTCCCGCGGCAGGACAAGCCCAGGGCACTCCCCAAGTCCGGCCAGGGCTCCTGGGGCCCCCCTGGGCCGGCCTGGCCCTTTGACTCGCGGGTGCTGGGCAGGGAGCTCTGCTGTCTCAGGGAAGGTGAAGGTTCCATGCAAACCCCGGCAGCGCAAACACGGGCTGGAGAGGGGAGGCCCGTCGGCCCCCGCGGGCCCCCCATGGCCCCACAGGGCCCGGCCGGGCCCCCCTCCTGGCCGTCACGGCCCGCAGGGGGTGGGGCAGCCCCAGCCGGCCTCAGCCAGGGAGACTGGACTCCGCACGGCCTCCGAGACCCTCCAGTCTCGGTTTGTCCCTGGAGAAGCGAGTGCACCCCCTCGCCACGGGACAGGCGCTGCCGCCTGGGCAGCCGGCGGGCGGCATGGGGCCAGGGCATGCAGGAGGAGCCCCGCGGTCAGTCAGCGCCCGCGCGGCTCAGCCACACCCGCCGGCTGGCGAGGAGGGAGGAAGACAGTGGAGGAGGGCGGTGAGCGGCAGGCGGAGGCCGCCCGCGGCGCAGCGGG